GCATTTATGTAATAGCTAGTGAAGTTGGGCATCTTTTTGTATATCTGTTGGCCATCAACATAGTTAGCATGGCCATATACACAAAGCAATACACAAACCTAATGCAATCCCCATCCAAATCCCACTGGCACTTTAAAAAAAAAGAAATACAGGCTCTGGCACAAATAATGCCTCCTTTTTATTACAAAATCTTTTATTACCAAATCAGAACCATGTAATTCTGTAATATAACAATATCACACTCAAGTACACCATATGACATTTTAGGTAAAATATTCAAATTAAAACTGTAAATTATTACCCCCATATTATAACCCTACCAACCACATTCAAGCAGGCATTATTTCTGCTGGACTCTTAGAACAAAAAAAATCATCAGATTTGTGTAGAACCACAAAAGACCTGAATAGCCAAAGCAATTCTGAGGAAAAAAGAACAAAATTGAGGTTATCAGACTACCTGACTGCAAATTATACTACAAAGGTACCATAATCAAAATAGCATGATATTGGCAGAAGAGCACAGACATGCAAACCAGTGAAAGAGAATTGAGAGCCCAGAAATAAACCCACATGTATTTGGGTAGTTTTTGACAAAGGAGCCAAAAACATATAATGGAGAAGTGAAAACGTCTTTAATAAATGGTCTTGGGATAACTGGGAAGTCATATGCAAAAGAATGAATCTAGACTGCTATTTGTCACCATACACAAAAAATTAACTCAAAATGGATAAAAGACCTAAAAATAAGATCCGAAATAATAAATTACATACTCATAGCAGAACAATTTACAATTGCCAAGTGTTGGGAGCAACCTAAGTGCCCATCAGTAAAAGAGTGCAGCAAGCCCTGGCTGGTGTAGCTCAGTGGATTGAGCGCGGGCCTGCTAACCAGACAATCGCGGTTCGATCCCAGTCAGGGCACACACTGGGGTTGCAGGCAGGTTCCCTGCAGGCCAGTTCCCAGCAGGGGACGCACGAAAGGCAACCATACATTGATGTTTCTCTCCCTCTCTCCTTCCCTTCCCCTCTAAAGATAAATAAATAAAATCTTTAAAAAAAAAAGTGCAGCAAAAAAACATGGTACATTTTACACAATGGAGTACTACAGAGCAGAAAGAAAGAAGGAGCTCCTGTCCTTCACGACAGTGTGGATGGAACTGGAGAGTTAAGTGAAATAAGCCAGGCGGTGAAAGACAAATACCATATCTCACCATTAACAAGAACCTAATCAACAAAACCAACAAGCAAGCAAAATATAATCAGAGACATTAAAATAAAGAACAAACTGACAGTAACCAGAGGGGAGGGGGAAGGGAATAATGGGGAAAATTGGGGAAAAACTGTTAAGGAACATATATAAAGGACACGTGGACAAAGCCAGCAGAGGTTGGGGGATAGGATCCAGGGTGAGAGGTAGGGATGGGTGGGATGGGAATAGTGGTGGGGGGAAAATGGGGTCAACTGTACTTGAAGAACAATTAGAAAATGAAAAAAAGAAGGAAACACAGGGAGAATTTTATGAATTTGATCCCAAAGGCTGAGGGAAGTAAAAGGAAAAATAAATGAATGGGACTGTATCAAACTAATAAACTTTCTATACAGCAAAAGAAATCATCAACAAAACAAAAAGGCAACCTACCAAATGGGAGATGGTATTTGCAAAGAACACCTCTGATAATGGGTTCATATCCAAAATGTATAAAGAACTCATACTGAAAAACAAAAACAAATAATCTAATTAAAAAATGGCCAGAGGACCTGAACAGGCCCTTCTCCCAAGAAGACAACCAGGTAGTTTTAAAATAAAGTTACACATACATGTGCCAGCAATTTCACTCCTTGGTATTTACCCAAGAGAAATGGAAACATATGTCCTTGCAAAGATTTATACACAAATGTTCACAACAGATTTATTTGTAGTAGGCAAAACTAGAAACAACCCAGTCACCAATAGACAGATAAATGGTTAATAGTTATTTGTTACCACATAGTCAAAAACCATTTAGCAGTAAAAAGAAATTAGTGATATAAACAATATGGATGAATCTCAAAAATATTATGCTAAGTTAATAAGCCAGATGCAAGAGAATACATACTGTAACATTTCATTGAAGTTAAATTCTTAAAAAAGCAAAACTAATCTATATTGACAGAGAGCAGCTTAGTGGCTGCCTTGGGGCGGGAACTGGGGATTAACTGTGAAGAGCACAAGGAAGCTTGGGCAAGAATTAAAAGTCTTGTATATTGATTGTGATAGTGATTCCATAAGTGTAGATATTTGTTAAAATGCATTAAAATATACTTAAAAGTGAACACTTTACCATATGTAAATTATACCTCAGAAAAGCTGAATATTAATAATTTTTTTCATTAAGATCCTCATTTACCCTTCAATGATCAGTCTGTATCATTGAACCAGTCTCCTTCATAAAATACATGTTGGATTGCCTCCTAGATCCCTGCCAATTTTCCTTTGTTAGCTTCCCTTTCTTGTCACCCTCTTCAGATACAATTTTCCCATAGCACAGTCTTACTTTCTAAGAGGCCACCTACCCTCAGTTTTCTTTTCACTACTGACAACTCTCAAATATCTGTATCTCTGACATCCCCCTAGAAACCAGCAGCTAGATTATTCTACTAGTGAATTCCACTCCTTATCTTCTAAATCAGGGGTGTCAAACTCATTTTCACCAGGGGCCACATCAGCCTCTTGGTTGCCTTCGACGGGCTGAATGTAATTTTAAAACTGTATAAATGTACTTACTCCTTAACTGTTGAGCGAGAGCTTGGCGTTGCCACTGGGTAGAAACAAGGTGCTGGGCCAGATAAAACAAGGTGGAGGGCGGGATTCGGCCCTCAGGCCCTGTGTTTGCCACCTGCGCTCTAAATTGACTCTACATCCTTACATTACGCACCCAAGCTCATGATCTTATCTGTGTTCCTCTTTCTTTCTTTCTTGACCTTCCCCCATCCTTATATCAGGTTAATTCCCACAACTAGTTGGTTCTCTTTCAAAATGTTTGTTGCATTTTTATTTATTTCTTAAAAGATTTTATGTATTTTTAGAGAGAGGGAGAGAAACATCAATGTGTGAGAGAAACAGAAACCCCTATCAGTTGCCTCTCACATGCCCCCAACTGAGGACCTGGTCTGCAACCCAGACATGTGCCCTGACTGGGAATCAAACCGGTGACCCTGCAGTTTGCAGGGCAACTCCCAGCTCTCTGAGCCACATGAGTCGGGGTGCATCTTCCCTTTTGATTCCACTACTCTCCATTACCAAATGCCTATAGTGTTGTCATAGCCTTATTACAGACCTCTCTGTCTCCACCCACACTGTGTTTCTCCTTGCTCCCCGGCACTGTTAGAGTAATCTTCATAAAATACCACTTTCATCCTTTATTTTTCTGCTTAACACTCTTCGTTGTAACCCTCTCCTTTTGCCTGTAGAAGAAAAACCCTAGCATTCAGATATATCAATACAGTGTAGCCCTAACCCAACTTTTCCTTAATTTCCTTTATGCAGTCCTCAATAGCCAGTAAAATAAATGACTGCTTCCATACTTTTGCCAGTGGCATGCCCCCAGCTTGAATGCCCTTTCTTTTCTATCTATTCTATTTCTACCTATTTTTTCAAAGCCATCTCTCTTTTTTTACACTTAAAAAAACATTTTATTACACAGCTTCTTTTTATAAATGCCCAGCACGTTGACTCAAACTGGAATGACAGACGTTAGACGACAGTCTGGGGCAAAAGCTGTACCTTGCTGTTTAAAAAAATGAGTGCATCTATGATCATTTTAACAAGAGGCATAAAATTCCACTGACTGGCTAATAGAAACAGATACAAATACAGAACATTTAAAGTAATAACGGTTCAAGTGCTGGGCTTTTTACAAGAAGAGATGAGAGGAAATGAAAATTCACTACAAAATTGTCTATTGAAAGTATCTGTTAAGTTTACCAATAAAAAAGAAGAAGAGATCAGAAGAAAATTCAAATGAAATACATAGTACTGCCCACTGCTACCAACAGAGTGGATTTGGCTGTTATGTTTATTTAGCTCTGTCACACACCTTCGAAGCTACACCAGCCAGGGCAGAGAGGCTTCTTAATGTGAGGTCTTTTTGGCTCCTACTCCTTTTTCTGTTCATGCTGAGGCTTTCTAAAGGGTGGGTGTGGTGGAGCTGCAGGAGGGGTGCACAGCTTGAGGAAGAGACCGGGAGGGGGAGGAGAGAAGCAGAGCATCTGTTTACATCACCAGTCAAACCTGGGCTGGGGCAGCCCTCCAACTCTCCACAAGCCTGAACACCTCAAAGCCGTATCTCTTGCTGTGGCTAAGTGACCTCTTCTAATTTGGAGCCAGCTGGCACTGCCCATTTCCCACCTGGCATTGCTTTTTATTTTATTCGTCAGTGTTTGTTTGAGAGGCAACAGGCATGTTTAAGAGCTTCAGCAAATTATTTAACTCTACCATGACTCACTTAGTTTAAAAGAGTATAATAAATAAAATATGTGAAAAATAAATGAGATTATACATTAAAATCCTTAGTATAATATTTGGCACAGAGTCTTGATCTAACACAGCTACTTTATTATTATTAGTAGTAGTAGTAGTAGATTAAACACTGAAATGATTACAATTTCTGTTCTTCAGGGATTTTAATATAACCTAAAAATATATTAATCTTTTATCTGGATTTTTGAGATTTTGAGTCTAGCAAGTTACTTTTATAATCGGGATCTGTTTGAGACCTAGGCTAGTGGCAGGGATAAACCAGGAGTCATGGTGGCAGAAGCTGTACTATCATTTTAGCTTCTACTCTTTAAATTATATCAGAAATATAAAAAATATGAAAAACAAATCTGTCCATGCAGTATTTCAGGAATATGTTTTTATGCTTTGAAAAATGATTGTATTTTATCTTCTGTACTAACCATTTGATATTCAATGTAGGAAGGGGTGTTTCTTTTCTCATTAAAATTTAATCTATTTAGGGCCAGGAGCTCAGTTATCCATTCTGGACGATTTTCTTGAAGAATCTTCCAAACGGATGTCATATGTACAAGAACCAGTTTTGTCTGTAACACCTCAGGATCCAGCAGTCAGTCAAAGACCATCCAACCTATTCGTCAAGGAGATACCAGAAAAAAGAGGTAATTGGGAATAAGGATTTCTAATTGGAAGAGGGATGTACACTAACTAGACAAGGATGAAAATTCCTGTGATTACCAAAATGGCAATTTTAACTTGTTTGAGGTTGATTAGTTTATCCATCATTTTGCCTAAGTGCCTTCATGTGAGGCTCGGCTCTGAAATCCAAACTTAGTAATACAACTCTTTGTTTTTCTAAAAGAATTTATAATAACTTATTTGAGCCAAAACTGATGACATGCTGGGAAGCAAGTTTTCAAATGCTCCAAACTCAATAAACAATGATTATGCCAGAAAGAAAAGAAATAAAAAATAATAATCAAATTAAAAACTCAGAAAAATAATAAAAAGAAACAATAAACTTCAAGTGCTATAGGATAGCAAAGTGAAATTTGTCTCAGTTTCTCAGTTGCTGGTGTTAGATTTGTGATTCTTCTCTAGGTATGTTTTTGGTCCTTTCTCTGCTCCAGGTCTTATTGTCTCACACTTGGGAAAAGAAAAAAGAAAAAGAAAAAAAGCCTCCTGCTATCTTTAAACCTACCAAACGAGTTCTGCTGGTTTTCCTGGATGCTGCAGGCAGAGAGGGGCTGCGCTGCACTTTTTTCCTTTCCTGTGGTTTTGCAAGGATGGGGGCTAGATCTGGGTTGCAATATTCACAGGTGCCCAGCTCCAGCCCAGACCTTCAGAGTGCTGCTGGGCCCCCACTGTCCCTCTGCACCAGACCCTCGCCTTTAATCCACCACAGTGTTCTGGCTGTCAGGTGCCCTTGGAGCAAATCACATCCCTTGTCCTCCCTCTTCACTGGCCTAGCCACTGGGAGAGTTCCTTAAACAGCTGGCTGATAGCCTTTTTTTTTTTTTTTTTTTTTGAGTAAATTCCTCTTGTTTGCCCCTGCCATTCTTAACAAGAGCCCTGCACAAGAATTCCTTAAACAATGGCTGAGTATGGTACTGGCATAAGAACAGACACATAGACCAATGGAACAGAGTAGAGAGCCCAGGAATAAACTCAGGTCTCTATGGTCAATTAATATTCAACAAAGGGGGCATGAGCATAAAATGGAGTAAAAATGGTCTCTTCAATAAATGGGATTGGGACATCTGGACAGCTTACATGCAAAAAAATGAAACTCGATCACCAACTCACACACTACATAAAAATAAATTCAAGGTGGATAAAATATAAGTCGTGACACCATAAAAGTCCTAGAGGAGAACATAGGCAGGAAAATCTCAGATAGTCCATGCAGCAATATTTTTACAAATATGTCCCCTAGAGCAAGGGACATAAAGGAAAGAATAAACAAATAGGATCTCATCAAAACAAAAAGCTTGTGCACGGCTAAAGAAAACAGCATTAAAATGAACAGAGAGCCAACCGTGTGGGAAAACATATTTGCCAATGATACCTCAGACAAGGGTTTAATCTCCAAAATATATAAAGAATTTACATGACTCCACTCCAGGAAGACAACCCAATTTAAAAAACGGGCAAAGGACTTGAATAGATACTTCTTTAAGGAGGACATATGGGGGCCCAGAGACAGGAAAAGATGCTCAGCATCACTAGCCATCAGAGTGATGCAAATTAACACCACAGTGAGATACCATTTCCCACCAGTGATAATGGCCATCATCATCAAATCACCAAGTGTTGGAGAGGTTGTGGAGAAAAGGAACCCTAGTGCACTGTAGGTGGGAACACAGACTGGTACAGCTGTTACAGAACAAATCCATGGGAGGGGACAAGATAATGTTACCAAATGGACTCCCTGCCCCAGGGTCCCTCTGTGCTAGGTTCACCTTGCCTATTCTTTGGCAGGAGAACCAAAGAATTATGACTCTCAGTGCCAGAGTTTGGTAAAAAGGAAATTTATTCAAAAGTTATACAGATTTAAGAGTAATGACTTAATGTCTTTGTTAAATCCCCAAAGTTCTTTAAAACACCCCCCAACACACAGTCCTTCCTTCCCCTCTCTTCCCAGTCTGGGATACATATTACAGGAGAAAACTAGAAGTCCATGGCTTATGTAGCCCCCGGTTCTTTCTAGGAATCCCAGCTTGGCTGGCAGGCCTCCTGTGGTTCCCAGCACCATCAGCTGTGTTGCCAGGATCTCCAGTTCTTAATCCAAACCCACGTGACACCTTCTTATGGTCCACCAGCAAGAGTCCTTTCAACCTTTTCCTTCTCTGCAAGATCTTGCATTGTCTCTCCTGATTCCTAAGCCACGTAGCAAAGGGAGCCCCAAAACCTTGTGGTTCCCCTGGTGTGGCTGCATGCTTAGGTTTAAATCCCAGCGTAAATCTTCCTCTGCAGCCCCATTTCTGACTCCTCCCACAATCTGCTGCACCTGCCAGCATTCCTGTATTTGTCCAGCTTTTCTGGGCTGCCATAGTAAGTCCAGGGAGGCGTGCCCCATGGCATGGAGCAAACCATCTCCAAGCTTTCACACAGGTGCTGTAACCAGGGGGAGCTACCTTCTAGTTACCTCATGGGTCAAAGTCACTCCTATCTCCCTGGCTCAAAGCATGGCCACAGCTACTTAACATATCTGTGAAGCCAGCCAAAAGTTATAGATATGCAAAATAACTCTCAATGGCCCTGCTTCCTGAGTCCTATCCCCCAGTTCAGACTTATGAGGGTGAGGATATCCTATACTTTATAATTCCTGGACACCCTGATTTCTGGACCCTGTTTCAAATCCTTCGTTTGTGGGGGCTGGGAGAGCTGGTTATACCCTGCTACATAGCCACTGTGGAAAACAATATGGAATTTCTTCAGAAAACTAAAAATTGAACTGCCTTTTGACCCAGCAATTCCACTGCTGGGACTATACCCTAAGAATCCTAAAACAGCAGTTAAAAGAACCTATGTACCCTAATGTTCATAGCAGCATTATTTAGAATAGCCAAGTGTTGGAAGCAATCTAAGTACCCATCAGTAAATAAGTGGATCAAAAAAACTGTGGTACATTTACACAATGGAATACTACACAGCAGAAAGAAAGAAGGAGCTCCCACCCTTTGCAACAGCATGGATGGAACTGGAGAGCATTATGCTGAGTAAAATAAGCCAGGAGGTGAAAGAAATACCACATGAGCTCACCTATAAGTGGAACCTAATCAACAAAACAAACAAGCAAGCAAAATACAACCAGAGACATTGAATTAAAGAACTAAATGACAGAGAGGAGGTGGGTGGGGAATAATAAGGGATAAGAGGGGAAGGCCCATCAAGGTTTATGTATAATGGAGACTTCCGCCAAGATGGAGGTATAGGTGGATGTGCCGTGCCTTCTCACACAACCAAGTTTAGGGACAACTAAATATTAGCATCAGAAAACACAACCAGAACACGGAAAATTGAACTTTTCGGAAGTCCGCTAACAACAAATTCTTCAGCCCGACCGGTAAGGGGCGAAACCGGCGTCTCGTGAGGAGTTGCACAGTAGGACTCCGGTCGGAGGGACCCAGGCGGGGAATCCAGACGCGCGAATCCAGACGCACGGGTTCCAAAACCAGGATTGGACCTAGTGAGCGACCGAACAACCCACCGGGTGAGCGACTGCTGAGGAGACAGTGGGGAGGCGGTGCTGCGTGTTGACTGCGGTTGCCTATCTGCGGGCGAGCGGACAGGCGAGGGAGTGGGCGGTTGGACCGGGCCCCGGCGGTCCCCGTGGCAAGCGGCAGTAGAGGGCGCCGCCATTTCCCCGCTCTGACCACGCCCCCACATACAGCGTCACAACCCAGCGACCTAGGACTCCAAGGCGCCGCTTGTCCCACTTAAAGGGCCAGAACAGACCAAAAATGTCGCAGGCAGAACTCAAAGCCCCAGAGATAAATCTAAGCGACGAAGAAATAGCAAAACTCTCAGACGCACAGTTTAAAACACTGGTCATCAGGATCCTAACAGATCTGGTTGATTATAGCCACAAATTAGAGAAACATATGAAGGCTAAACTAAGGGAAATTAATGGAATTCCACAGGAAACCCATAGAGATGAAAAGGAAACTGGGACTCAAATCAATGGAGTGGACCAGAAGAAAGCAAATAATGGCCAAACAGAAAAGAGTCAGGAAGCAAGAATTCAAAGAAATGAGGAGAGTCTTAGGAACCTCCAGGACATCTTTAAACGCTCCAATATCCGAATTATAGGGGTACCAGAAGGGGGGAAAGACACAACCACCAGTGGAAAAATTATTTGAACAAATAATAAAAGAAAATTTCCCCAATCTGGCAAAGGAAATAGACTTCCAAGAAATCCAAGAAGCTCAGAGAGTACCAAAAAAGTTGGACTCAAGAAGAAACACACCAAGGCATATCATAATTACATTAGCCAAAATTAAAATGAAGGAGAGAATCCTAGAAGCAGCAAGAGCTAAGGGGACAATCACCTACAAAGGAGTCCCCATCAGACTGTCAGCAGATTTCTCAAAAGAGACCTTACAGGCAAGAAGGGGCTGGAAAGAAATATTCCAAATCATGAAATCTAAAGACCTACAACCAAGACTGCTCTATCCAGCAAAACTTTCATTTAGAATGGAAGGACAGATAAGGTGCTTCTCAGATAAGATCAAATTCAAGGAGTTCATCATCACCAAGCCCTTATTATATGAAATGTTAAAGGGACTTATCTAAGAAAAAGAAGTTAAAGAAACATGAACAGTGAAAGAACAACAAGCTCACAGTTATTAACAACCACACCTAAAACAAAAGCAAACTAAAAGAACAGCTAGATCAGGAGTGGAAACTTAGAAATGAAGATCTCAAGGAGGGTTAGCAACAGGGGAGTGGGAGGAGGAGATGGGGGGAGAAGGTACAGAAAATAAGTAGCATAGACAGTAGATAGAAAATAGATGGGGGGGGACAAGAATAGCATGGGAAATATAGAACCTAAAGGACTTGAGACACATGGACATAAACTAAAGGGGGGTAATGGTGGGGATGGGGGGGCAGGGTGGAGGGGAATGAAGGGGGGAATAGAACAACTGTAACAGCATAATCAATTAAAAAATAAATTTAAAAAAATGTAATTGAAATTTCTCTATACAAAAAAAAAAATAGGAACACCCATTCAATTGTATTTGGATGAGAAAAAATAAATTATTTCTTACATCAGTGAAAAAAAAAAAAGGTTTATGTATAATGGACACACAGACAAAGCCAAAGGGCGTGTAGGTTCTAGGAGAAGATGGATGGGGCAGAGGACCATGTGGGGTGAAAATGGAGACAACTATACTTGAATAACAATTAAAAAGGAAAAGAATAAAAAATAAATAAGTGTTTATATTTAGCTCAGAAAAGTAGCCAGCTACAGACCTATGATTTTCTAACAATCATTCTTCATTTTTAGAACATCTATAGATTATGTTTCACATTCAGGAAAATCTAAATACTTCTTAAAATACTTTTATTTGGTTGTGCCTTGCACTTGGAACCACCAGTAGACTAACCTTAAGAACTTTTGGGGTCTGCTTGTTGGGACCATCAGTATGGAGCAACCTATTGCTTTCCAGATTAGGATCCATCTCATGTATTAGATTAGAATACTCTCTCTGCTACATTAGTGTGTCTGAGCTTTGTATACTTTTTCCTTTACACCCAATTGACTATTCTTTTAATATATTTTCAGAAGCATCAAAATCTCAAGATTCATCGATGTTTCTGCATCCTTCCCCTCAGGGGGTTTCCCAAAGTCCTACCACCATCTTTATGGAGACCATACACTTTTTGATGAAGGTCAACGCTGTGCAGGTCAGATTATTTGGATTTGAGCAAGTTAGTGAATCACTTGAAATTTTAATGAATCACTTATTCCGTGTGGTATCTTTGCAAGCAGAAGTGTGTTTGATGTAAAAATCAAGTAAGCTGTCAAGAGCACACTGTAAACCCAAAGGGATGGGCATCCCAGTATGGACCACTCTGTAGAGCACGTCAGAAGACCTCACTGCAAGTCTGCTCCCTGCAGAATATTAGCACAGTGAATTCAGATTGAGTCTTATGGAAACTGATGTCACTTTATTATGGGAACTCATACTATGTGAGTGTTGGGGGTCCACAGGAGCCTGATCAAACCCTTCTTCCCTTTCAGGCTCTGAACCAATTGGAACAGACACAGTGCTAAATGGGGGGATAAAATATTAAATTATTTTATTAGTAAAACAGAGCTGGAGATGTGAGTGGTTCCAGATTTGACTTACCCATACTGTCACAGGTGGAACAGCTGGAGAACGGCAGCCTCCTCCCAGAGAAGAACATCCTAGGAGGTCTACCTGCCACATGGGAAACAAGAAATATATCCATGAAGCAAGCAATAGGAGAGAGAGTAGGATCCAGCTGGCCCCGATCCTGCAGTATGCATGCTCCACTTTGTGTGGAAAAGTTCAAGAAAGGGCCAGAATGATGAACTGGGTAGGAGGGGGCCGCATTAAACTTCCCCAGTGGAGAAACAGGCTGTCTCCCTGCTGCCCAGGTCAAAGGGCCAGAATGCAGGGAGTGGGAACAGCTGCAGAGCCTCCGCCCAGTACTTCCTGAGAAGGTGTGTTAGTGGAAGTTTCTATATTATAGGCTGAGATAGGAACAGAAGGGAGAGAAAAGAAGGGCTCTCCCTTTGCTTAGCAAGTGTGTGTTACTTTGTCAAATTTGCAGGCCTTGTACAGTATTAAAAATAAAGAATAGTTCTAAGTGTAAAACTGATGCATATAACAAATATGTGAGAGTGTGTCAGAAACAGATACACTGTTTCCAAGATCCTGAGTGTAGAATTTTAGGAGAAAGGGTTTCGTTTCTCTTTAAATTTCCTTATGATTACAGCTGCCTAAATATGTTACCTCGTGTAGATGTCAAGTGTTTCTCTGCAGCATAACAAAATGGTAATACAGGTTACCACTCTGGTGTCTCTTCAGATCATATAAATCTTTCTTCTTTTACAAATACAGGTTAAAACCTATCTAGTATGATGATCAGCAAGACCAGCATTGTATAACTGCCAATAATTCACTTGGAAAAGTCTCTGTTTGGTGACTAAGTGAATAGCTGATAATGGATCCATGATGGGTTGAACGTGTATAATTCACCTCTAACCTTTTGAGGTTGATAAGCACTTCATTCTATAATATGTTCCTTATTATTTATTATCAGAAACAGAATCTTCAGCCATAAGGGCCATGGAACTGACACAATGCAGCCATTTACGTGTTCCTTATAATCTGATGTTTCCTTGCAGTATGTGCACCGAGTGCTTGCACATGAGCTGCTACGCTCTCAAGGAGGTCCCAGCTGTGAGTATTACTTGGTGCTGGCTCAGATACACCTTCTCAAGAAGGACTTTCCCAAGACGGAGGAATACCTTCAACAAGCAGCCCAGATGGATTACCTGGTAATAACTTTTGCTAAAGCCTCTTGAGTTTAGTTTGAAGAAGGGGCGAGCAGGCTTTCTTAAAGGTAGCGATGTCATATCTCAGGTAGATTTCTGGTTACCAGAGGTGGAGCTCATCAGTTGTCAGTTAATTCATCTATCTATTTTCTTCCATTGGTTTTTCTTAAGCAATCATGAGTTTTGCAAAGGGGCAGAGGAAAAGATAAGGACAGCTCTTTAGCAGATAGTTGATCTATTTCAATTTTTCTAGACTTCTGTTTTTCTCATTGGGAACACCATCATTATTACGCTTCAATGTTTTTCTTAATATTTACCCCAAAGACAAAAAATGCAAGAATACAAGAAAGAAATGAGAGGATAAACCTCTTTTTAATTGAGTGCTATTAGAAAAAGAAAGCAGACTTAATCTAAATTTCAATGTTAAACAAAGCTCATTAATGGACTTTAAAATACCACCTCATCCCATGTACTACTTTTTCTTCACTTTTTCAGAACCCTAATGTCTGGAGTTTGCAGGGCCACCTCAATTTTCTGAGTGGAAATCATGCTGAGGCCAAGGCATGCTATGAGAGAACTGTTAGCTTTGTAGTGGATGCTTCTGAGATGCACTTCGTCTTCCTGCGACTGGGGCACATCTATCTGGAAGAGAAAGAGGTGAGGGATGGAGGATGGGGAGTAACCATGTCACTCAGGTCATGGTCTGGGACCTGACTATAGGCAAGTATTAACATCCATGTTGACTTAAAACATGATAATGGCACTTTTATATGGAAAGAAAAAGTGATCTGTCTGACATCAGATAACCAGTAATTAATAGAAATAGGATTTAAATACAGGCAGCATCATACTAGTCTGTGGTTTTAAACATTACATACTAAAAAGTTATTAAGAATCTAATCAATTTTATTTTAGGTAAAGTTTTAGCTCATTTTCTTTATTAGCAGTAGTAGAGATATTCTTAACTTGCCCTAACTAATGGAAAGTGTCATGGGCTTCAACATAAATGCTCCAAACTTCCTCTTGAACACAAAGGATTAGATTTAATTTGGTCGAGGCTAGCTCCATTTCACATGGCACTCTGACCTGACTTTTTAGCAATTCCTCCCCATGTTTTAGGAAATGCCCCAAAACTTTCTAAAGGAAAATTTCTGTTATGAAAACTTTCAAATACACATAAACAGAGCAGAAGAGTGAACCAACGTGAACCCATGACCCCACTTCAACAATGACCAACATCCTCCTGAAGGCCTTTTGTTTTGGCTTTATTCTATTCCCCACCTCCCAGAACACCTAGTTTTCTTTATGTTTAAAATAAAACAACAGCGACAAGAAGTTCCAATGCCTTATAATTTAAGTAGGAGAGCTCACATAGGCTTGAAAGAGAAAAACTGTGGTAAATAATAAAAAGCTTTCCAATGTCATTGCAAATTGCATCTTCACAGAGCTGCTGACTTAGGCAGTCACTCAGCTGTTTGCTGTGGCTCCACTGTAGTCCCATCTCTCACATGGAAGATACAAGACAAGAAGTGGTCCTTTGAGGCTTACTACTTTTTTTTTTCAGTTTTTCTAAATGTCTTGTGTACTACTGAAATCTTCTAAGATGTTTTACAACAAGCGAACAGACTCTTAGAATAATGAGTTTCTGTCAGTTATATTCCTTAGTTCAGATATTCTGTATATCACCCTACCACATGATGTCAGTTTTAAGTGAAAAGGGGTAATCTGTAAGTCCAAGTAGAATTCAAACAATCACTATGGTCACCCAGAACATCCTGTGTAACTCTTTGCCTCAACTCTCAAAGAGACTCTAAATGTCTTTTGAACTGCTTTCACGTCAAAGTCTACCCTTTAATTTAGTCTGTCCATCTCTCTCACAAGTCTTCTCGCAATAGGTCTCTGAAAATAGACATCAAATATAATTTAAGTCCAGAACAGCCAACACAACATTAAAAGAAGAACAAAAGTGGAGGACTGACACCCTATCCAACTAGAAGTCTCAGTATAAACTACAACAGTAATCAGAACAGTGTGGTATTGGTGGAAGAATAGGCAAATATATCAGTGAAACAGAATAGAGAGCCCAGGAATAAACCCACATAAATATAGTCAACTGATCTTAGACAAAGGAGCAAAGGCAATACAGTGGAGCAAAAAAAATCTTTTCAACAAATGGTAGTGGAACAACTGACCATCCATATGCAAAAAAAAGAAAGAATCTAGACACAGACGTTATGCCTTTAAAAATTAACTCATAATGGAGGACTTCCCCCAAGATGGAGGCATAGGTGGAAGCACTATACCCTCTTGCACAACCAGGTTTAAAAACAACAAAGTTTTAGCAACAAAAACATAGCCAAATCACCCACAGAAAATTGAACTATATGGAAGTCTGACAACAACAAACCCTTCAGCCAAACTGGTAAGGGGGGTAGAGCCACCAGCAGAGCAGGGTCACCGGACCTACCCGGGCGTGCGACCCAGGCATGCTGGTAGCTGAGGGCGGATCCCAGGTGTGGAGTAGCAGTGGGTGGACCCACTGAGGGTGCAAGGCAGTGGACTCACTGAGGGCTGACCACAGTCACACATTCATATGCAGATAAACCGGTGAAGGAGCGAGCGGTGAGACAGACCATGCAGGCCCCAGTGGCAGGAAGCGGCAGAGGGGACCGCTGTTATCCCTCTTTGACCCCGCCCCCACATACAGCATCACAAACCAGCAACCCGGGTGGCCCCACCCTGGTGAAAATCTAAGGCTCCACTCCTCATACCTAACAGGCACAAACAGAGCAAAACATGGCTCAAGAAGAACTCAGAGCCCCAGAGCCAATAAATCTAAGCAATGAAGAAATAGCCAAACTTTCAGATGCACAGTTCAAAACACTGGTGATCAGGATGCTCACAGAACTGGTTGATTTTAGTCACAAATTAGAGGAACATAGGAAGGCTAAACTAATTGAAATGAAGGGAAACACACAGGAAACCAATAGTGATGGAAATGAAACTGGGCCTCAAATCAAGGGAGTGGACCAGAAGGAAGGAAAAAAATAACCAAACAGAAAAATATGAAGAAACAAGAATTCAAAAAAATGAGGAGAGGCTTAGGAACCTCCAGGACATCTTTAAACACTCCAACATCTGAATTATAGGGGTACCAGAAGAGGAAGAGGAACAGCCACGAGTGGAAAACTTATTTGAACAAATAATAAAGGAGAATTTCCCCATTCTGGCAAAGGAAATAGACTTCCAGGAAATCCAGGAAGCTCAGAGAGTCCCAAAGAAGTTGGACCCAAGAAGGAACATACCAAGGCACATCATCATTATATTAGCCAAGATTAAAATGAAGGAGAGAATCCTAGAAGCAGCAAGAGATAAGGGGACAGTCACATACAAAGGAGTTCCCATCAGACTGTCAGCTGATTTCTCAAAAGAGACCTTACAGGCAAGAAGGTCTGGAAAGAAGTATTCCAAGTCATGAAATCCAAAGACCTACATCCAAGATTGATCTATCCAGCAAAGCTTTCATTTAGAATGGAAGGGCAGATAAAGTGCTTCTCAGATAAGGTAAAATTCAAGGAGTTCATCATCACCAAGCCCTTGTTATATGAAATCTTAAAGGGACTTATCTAAGAAAAAGGAGATAAAAAAGATGAACAATGAAAGGACAGCAAACTCATAGTTATTAACAACCACACCTAAAACAAAAGCAAATGAAGAGGACAGCTAGATCAGGAGCAAACCATAGAAATGAAGATCACATGGAGGGTTAGCAACAGGAGAGTGGGAGAAGGAGAAGGGGGGAGAAAGTACAGAAAATAAGTAACATAGATGGTAGGTAGAAAATAGATAGAGGGGAAGGCAAGAATAGTATGGGAAATACAGAATCTAAAGAACTTGAGACACGTGGTCATAAACTAAAGGAGGGGATGGTGGGGGAGGGGTGTGCAAGGTGGAGGGGAATGAAGGGAGGAAATAGAACAACTATAATGGCATAATTAATAAAAAAATATGGAGACAGTAAAGAGATCATTGGTTTCCTGGGGTGGGTGAAGGGGAGTCATGAATAGGTGGAGCACAGAGAATTTTTAGGGCAGGAAAAATATTCTGGTGAAGGATGCCTGTCCTTACACATTACACATTATACACTATAGTCTATAGTCCATTGACTATATGGACTTTGACTGGTGATGAAGTACTGGTGTAAATTTATCAGTTATAACAAATGTACCGCTGTGGTGGGGGAGGCTATGCATGTGTAGGAGCAGAATGTATGTGGGAAATCTGAACTTTACTCTCAATTCTTCTATAAACCTACCCCCCCCCAAAAAAAAATTAAGGTTTAAGAAAAGCACGTAACTCAAGGACTCAACGTGGATTGGTCTGGAGTGCACCGTCAGAGGCACCATGATTATCTTATCTTAGTACTGTAGTGTTGAAGCCTCCAAAGGAACAATCGCTTAGTGTTTTTTTTCCCTACAGTATGAAAAAGCAAAGAAAACCTACCTGCAAGCCTGTAAGAGATCACCTTCATGCCTTACTTGGCTGGGACTGGGAATTGCCTGTTATCGGGTAAGAGGATGAGAGCTTGACAGCCTGTGCATATACCTGATCTTGATTCCTTCGTCTTTCAGGCACCCTGGCGGTTTGGGATGACTGTGAAATAGCATTCAGGGCTGTTTTCTCTTATGAAAAGTAGCTCTTCCAAGTTGTTTAGTAAATTGAAGTTTAATCTGAAGTAGAAAAATAAAACATTCTTTAAAAATCCTTCAGAAACTTGAACCAGGAAGATACATAATAAAAAATTTCATGTTATTTGACACAGGAGCTCATAATTTTGTAGTGCCCTCTATAAGGGGAAAGGTGATATGGGATATGAAAATCTCCTCAATTAAATTAAATAAATTGATTGATATTTATTAAGCTCTATGGTCTCTTGATATTCAGGGGGAGCTGCTATAGCTTCAGGTAGATCCTTGATAGATTCTTGATTCTATCCCTCTCCTTTTCTTCTAATACCTTACTCTCTTAATTTTTTCTTTCTTCATGATTTAGAATTTTAAACTGTCCTCAGTCAGCTCTTTGCCCACACTTTTCCCTTCTTAATAAACAGCAGTGATGATGGCAGCCTTCCTGGTTGTCAGCTTCTGAACCAAAAGTGTTGTCTACATTTCTTGTCTTCTTTTCCTTATTGCTGTTTTTAAACCATAAAGAAAATATATGTTCATGACAGAAAATGTGTAAGACACAAAATATGAAGGAAACATAAAAATATCCATATTCTCACCACCACTCAGTGATGACCACTGCTAACATCTGAGCGCATTGTTCTCCAGACTCCTTCCATACACATATGGAAGCAATTGTATATATGTATTTACTGCTTAAATAAGGTCATCATGTAATTTATCATACAAACCAAGACACTTCTGAGAATAAAAAGAGTGCTATTAATAATTACATTGGGACACAGATACTGTTCCCGGCCAATCAGGGCATGTGATCACTTATACATAAGCCATGTGCCCTCTCTTCCACCTTCCCAGAAAGGAAGTTGCATTTGGAGCAGCTAGAAACCTGCCAATACTGTTGAAGTCATAAGAAACTATTCAGATAACTCATGAATCTCTTTGTTTTGAATGGTGTTAGAGATAGTTTTATTGGGCTAGAAACCAAAAAACAAAATAAAACAAAACCTTGAGTTAAACCCTACCATTAAAACGTCCAGGTAATCTTTGGCCCCCATCAGTGTTTTAGTTAAACTCTACTGATGTGTGGATATATCATAATTTGTTTTACTAATCACTTATGATTGGACATGTTATTTTCTACAATTATACTATTTATTAATAAACAAAGCTAAAATAAACATTCTTGGACATAAATTTTTCTGTTTAACTTTCATTATTTCTGTAGGGTACATTCTAAAGGAATGTAGAAAAATGTTAAAACATTTAAACTATAGTGTCAACTTGCCCTCTAGAGGGAGTGTAGGGGTGTATACTGATTTATACTTCTCCAGAAGGTATGAGTCACTTTACTGTTACTTCATCAACAACAAACATTATCATCTACCAATTTGATAGGTATCTTTTCAACAATTTTTATCTGTATTTTATAGGTATTTTTTAAAAATATTTTTTATTTTTCAATTACAGTTAACATGCAGTATTATATATTAGTTTCAGGGGTACAACGTAGTGATTAGACATTTCTATAATTTATGAAGAGATCACTCCAATAAAATTAGTACCCAACTAATACTATATAGTTATTACAGTATTATTGACGTTGTTCTCTATGCTGTACTTTATATCTCCATGACTATTTTGTAACTACCAATTTGTGATTCTAAAATCCCTTTTCCTGTTCACCCAACCCCCAACCCCCAAACTCTTCCATCTGGCAACTATAAAAATGTTCTCTGTATCTATGAGTTTGTTTCTGTTTTGTTTATTCATTTATTTTGTTTTTTAGATTTATTTTGTATGTTGTATTACACATAAGAATGAAATCATATGGTATGTCTTTCTCTGTCTGCTTATTTGACTTAGCATAATACCTTCTAGATCCATTAATGTTGTTGCAGATGGCAAGATTTCATTCTTCTTTGTGACTGAGTAATATTTCACTGTATATATGTACCACTTCTTCTTTATCCATTCATTTATTGATGGACACTTAGCTTGCTTCCACACCTGGCTAATAATATATAATCCACACCTGTAAATAATGCTGTAAAGAACATATGTTCTGCCCTGGCTGGTGTAGCTCACTGGATTGAGTGTGGGCCTGTGAACCATACGATTGCGGTTCGATTCCCAGTCAGGGTATATGCCTGGGTTGCAGGCCAGTTCCCAGCAGGGGACTCACGAGAGGCAACCATACATTGATATTTCTCTCTCTCTCTCTCTCCTTCCCTTCCTCTCTAAAGATAAATAAATAAAATCTTAAAAAAAAGAACATATGTTCTTATTTACAATATGTTCTTTCAAATTAATGTTTGTGGTTTCTTTGTATAAATACCCAGAAGTAGGATTGATAGGTCCATCTTTGTCTCTTGTTATAACTTTTGTTTTAAAGTTTATTTTGTCTGTTATAAATATTGCTACCCCAGATTTTATTTTTTTTGTTTTTATTTTAATAAAACAACTTTTTCCATCCTTTCACTTTTGGCCTCAGTGTGTCTTTCAAGCTGAAGTAAGTCTCTTGTAGACATACTATATTTGGGTCTTGTTTTCTTATCCATTCAGCCATCATGTCTTTATTGGAGCATTTAATCCATTTACATTTAAAGTTGATAGATATGTAATTATTGTTGATAGATATATAGTTATTGTTAATAGATATGTAGTTATTGCCATTTTGTAATTCATATTTTAAACTTTGTCTTTCTTCTTAAAGAAGGTCCTTTAATATTTCATGTAATATTGGTTTGGTGGTGATGAATTTTAGCTTTTTCTTGTTTAAGAAACTCTTTATCTGTCCTTCCATTCTAAATTATAGCTTTTGCCCTTTTCATGCTTTGAATATTTCATGCCAGTTCCTTCTGGCTTGCAAAGTTTCTGTTGAAAAATAAGCTGACAGTCTTATGGGAGCTCCCTTGTAGGTAACTAACTGCTTTTCAATGACTGCTTTTAAAAGTCTCTCTTTATCTTTCACCATTGGTACATAAAGAAAATATATGTTCATGACAGAAAATGTGTAAGACACAAAATATGAAGGAAACATAAAAATATTCATAATCCCGCCACCACTCAGTGATGACCACTGCTAACATCTGAGCACATTGTTCTCCAGACTCCTTCCATACACATATGGAAGCAATTGTATATATGTATTTACTGCTTAAATAAGGTGATTGTGTAATTATGATGTGTCTTGGTGTGGTCCTTTTTTGCATCCATCTTGTTTGGGACTCTCTGTGCTTCCTAGACTTGCATGTCTATTTCCTTATCCAGATAGGGACATTTTCCATCACTATTTCTTAAAATAGGTTAACTCCTTGATCTCTCTCTTTTCTTTCTGGTACCCCTATGATGCAAATGTTGATATGCTTGATGTTGTCCCAGAGACCACTTAAACCAGCATTTTTTTTCTTCTAAAGAAGTTTTATTGCATTTATTGGGTGACATTGGTTAATAAAATTATACAGGTTTCAAGTGTACAGTTACATCATCTGTATGTATAATACATCATCTGTATATTGTAGTATGTTCCCCACTCAAAGTCAAGTCTTCCTCTATTACCACTTATCCCCTCTTTACCCTCTTCTACCTGTCCCCACCCCCCTTTCGCTCTGGTAATTATCATATAGTTGTCTGTGTCTATGAGGGGTTTTTATTTTCTTAATCCCTTCACCTATTTCACCTCTCCCCTCTGACAGCTGTCAGTCTGTTCTCTGTATCTGTGAGTCTGTTTCTATTTTGTTTATTTTGTTCATTGGATTCTAACCCCATTGTTTTTAATTCTTTTTTTCTTTTTACTGTTTTGATTGGGTATTTTCTGGTACTTTATCTTCCAAATCACTAATTCTATCCTCTGCTTCATCTACTCTACTATTGATTCTCCCTAATATAGTTTTCATTTCAGTTATTGTAATCTTCATTTCTGACTAGTTCTTCTTTAAGTCTTCTATCTCCATTTCTCTGTTTTTTATCTCTTTGTTGAAGTTCTCAGTGGTATCACTGGGCATCCTTATGACTAGTGTTTTTAATGCTGCATCTGGTAGATTGATTGTCCTTATTTCAGCTGCCTCACTATTTGTTTCTATGTTGTAGTTGCTACATCTCTTGGTCTTGGTAAAGTGGTCTTATGTAGTTGGGACCCAGTCGTGCAGTCTTCCTGGTTACCTGAGCTAGGTGCTCCAGGTGTGTCCCTTGTGTGGGTTGTATGTGCCCTGTTATTATAGTTGAACGTTAACTGTTATTAGCACATCAGTAGGAGTGTTGACCCTCAGGCTGATTGGTTTGGGAACTGGCTATGACTACAGTGGAGGAGTTGTTGTGCAGTGGCTGACCCTACAGAGCAGGATTTGATTTAGTGGGGCTTGTCTGCCTGCTAAGTCTGCCTTTTGGATATGTCATTTGTGGAGATGGTTGGGTGATACTCAGTTGTGGCCTGAAGCTAGCCCTCAGGTTTGTTGGTCCTGGGGCCTCTTGGAAAGGGCTTTGGTTCAGCTGCTGCCTGTGCCCTTCTCAGGGTCTCTTGGTATGAGCAGCAAATTGATCTGTAGTTGGTTGCCTCTCGTGCTGGGCTTGGAGGTATCTTGGGAGATGCTAAGCTGTGATCTGAAGCTGGCTGCTGAGAGCAGATACTGCTTGTTTGGGGTTTGCAAATGTTTGAGAGATTTTGGGAATGTCTATAGCATGAGCCAAGACAGGCCATTTGTATAGAAAAGCCCCTTTGATTGGGTTGGGTGGAGGTCTTAGGGAATCACCAGGGTTGTATGAAGGATTTTAGCTGGGTTGATGGAGACTCAGATATGGTGCTGACCTGTGTGTGCAGTCAGGGCTGGGGAAGGACTTGACAAAGGAACAATGGTCTCTGACAGCATTTCTGTATGCGAGAAATCTTCCCCTCCAGCACTTGCTCTGAAGCCAGAGAGTTCCTCCTCATATGTTCCTGGTGCCTTTAAAGCTACTGCCCCAGTGCTGGAGCTCAGAGTTATTGAGTCTAAGTTCATGAATGGGCCCTTTAAGAGGAATATCTCAGACTCCAGAAGCCCTCAGTCTCACTCAGCCACAATCACTGCTGGTTTTCACAGCTGGAAGTTATGGGTACTTTTCTTGCCTTCACTGGAACCTTGGGCTGGTGAGCTTGACATGGGGTTAGACCTTTTGCTCTTCAGGGGAAACTTCTGCAGCCAAGATAACCCTTTCCATTTTTAACTGCCACATATGAGTGTGGGACCAGCCTGGTCTGCCACTCTGCCCTCCTACCAGTCTTGCTGTGGCTTCTTCTGTATAGCCTTAGTTATAGGACTTCTGTTCAGCTGGACTTCAGGTGATTCTCAAAGATGGTTATTTTGTAGTTCAGTTGTAATTTTGATGCAGTTGTGGGCGGAGGTGTGTACAGCATTACTTACTCTGTGATTGTAATTGGAAGATCAGTAAGTTTCTTAATTTGCATTTTATCACCAAGGAGGTTGAAATCATGTGATACACATATTTGTTTACTTGTGAATTGCCTGTTCATTTTTCAGGTTTCATTTACCCTTCACTTTATTTGCAATCGTGTGTATAATATATCCCTTACCACTTTGCTAAAACTTATCTGACAGAAGTCCTCTGTGACTTACTAATTGCCAAATGCAATAGACAGTTCGATGAAGTCTCTGTGGCACTTAACCCTGTTGACTACTTCCTGTTGAAGCCTTCTCTTCCCTTGACTTTCACAATATTGCATTCACAGTATTTCAGTTCTGTTTTCCTCTCTGATGTCTCCTGCTCAGCCTTTTTCACTGGCTCCTAGTCTTTTACCCATGATAATTATTGGATCTACTCCAGTGATCTTAACTACCACTTTAACCCTAATGAATCCTAAAGCTTCAGTTCATAACACTTTTCAAGTTCTGGTCCTTATATCTAACAGTGTAATGGACAGCTCCATTGATGGTTTCCTAGACACCTCATAAAATGTACATATCCAAAATATAGTCTAACTTATCTCCAAAAGATTTTCACATTCCTTAAACCGTGGTCTTCTCCTGTATTCCCTGTGTTGGTGAATGGGGCTATAATGAACCCAGTCAACCATGCCAGAAACCAAAAAGCTATCCTAGTCTACTTCTCCTATTACTTTTAATCTAGTCATCAAGTATTCTATTGATTTGATCTCTTAAACATCTCTCAAGTCTATTGTCTCCTCTTCATATCTATTTTTACTGGTCTAATTCAAGCCCTTTTCTTTCCTTTTTTTAACATAGCTGTCAGAGAACTCTTTGAGGGAAGGCTTTTATTTTCTTTTTCTCCTCAGTATCTATCATATTGCCTGACAGAGAATCCTTAGCACATATATGCTGATTGAATAATAAATCAGTATTTCAGAGACGTTTAAAGTGTAAGTCAAATTATGGGCTTTGCTGAAAGGTCATTTGTCATATTGTCTTGGGCCTAGAAATCCATTATTTTCTAAAATGGATTTCTAGAAATTTTCTTCATTTTTAGAAAAAATGAAGAGCTACTTTATTGGGGAAAAGAGTGCTTTATTTTTTTCTTAGGTTGCCTTTTAGAAGACTTTGTAAAGCAAACTCACAGTCTAAGGAAGCAGCAGTGATACCCATGTAACCAGACCTCAGGAAGCACCCTAGTCACTGCATATTGTATTGATTGCTCCAGATTGTGTTGTTAATAACTGATTTTAGGGGAAAGGAAGCTTTCTGAATGATAGTATTTGACAAGATAATAGGACTTTTACCTTAAGACAAAGATGGAAAATTTAAAGGGAAAAAGTACAAATGTACTGATGGCCCACTGCATGTGGGGAAATCACTAAATGATGTACCCAGGACAGTAAATACTTCTGGCTGGATGCTCTCTCTGAAGCCTGGCACCTGAAGCTCCATGGTTCATGGATGGCTAGCTGGGACTGCTGTAGAGGAGAGAAGGAAGAGAGGTGTACACACTGTGAGCCTAAAAGGCGGTGCTCCAGATTCCCCCACGTGGCTTTTTAAGCAGAAAAATTTTACTTTTATCTAGTTTATGCATTGGGCCACCACATAGGATTTTGTTTAAAAAGGAGTTCTGTTGATTAAAAAACAAAAACAAAATGTTGAAATCTATTGGTATAGGTCACGTACACCAATGTTCTTTGGACACAGTATTTTCAGCTAAGCCAACTCCAGCTGGCTTAAGTGAAAACTGCATTGATTTAACTCACACGTCTTCTTTCTGTCAAGCTGGAGGAGATCACGGAGGCAGAGGATGCTCTCTCTGAAGCCAATGCATTGAACAACTACAATGCTGAAGTGTGGGCATACTTGGCTCTGGTCAGCCTGAAAGTGAGTGTTTACTATCTTTACACAGTGCCTTCTTCGGGCAAAGAGGTGAAGAACTAAGTAAATCAAGAGATAGTGGGATGGCCATTAATGCACAATAGATGAGGTTTGATCAGATTCAGATTTGGTCATTGTATACATGGAGGAGAACCAAGTCTGGGAAGCCTCAACTTGAAATGTGCTTAAAAATCATATACTCAGGTATGTTTTCTGGAAAGGAGATTCTGAAAATGGGAGTGAGCCATTTGGGCTTGGTGGTCGTGGGTGAGCAGGAGTGTGGTGGGCCAGGGCTGACTCCTAGCCAAGGGCTGTGGGTGGGTTAGGCTCCTGCTGCACTTTTGAGCTACTTCCCTGTGGGGATCAGAGTCTGGCCCAGGGCTGGGGTTAGGAACGCTGAGTGGGGAGCCGTGTGAGGGCAGTGACTGGCAGTGCAGTGGGTGGCAGATTGGACTTGGGGGCTGCGAGCTGTTCTCCTGTCCCCTTGGGCACCTCTCCCACCTGCCTGCGCTCTCATGTTTAGGATCTCAAACCTGGGACTATGGTAAGCATTCCTTGTATAATCAATCATTCCAGTTATGCTCTGGATCTACAAAAACTCCTGCAGCCATACCTATAGCCTTTGATTTCCCCCTTTGTGTTTTATGTATGGCTGAGAAAATCTGTATCTAAGAATCCAATAATGAAAATCAAGGCAAAGTAGGCTACAAGGATATATATGGATTATTAATAAAAGGACCAACACATACCTCTGATATACTAAAATAATTTACTCAAAAGATCTTACTGTTTTTATATTTTAAAGGAGTTTTTAAAACATTTAAAAAGATTTTATTTATTTTTATAGATGGGAAGGGAGGGAGAAAGAGAGGGAGGGAAACATCACTCTGTGGGTGCCTCTCATGTACCCCCTACTGGGGACCTGGCCCACAACATAGTCATGTGCCCTGACTGGGAATTGAACTCGAAACCCTTTAGTTCATAGGCCGACACTCAGTCCACTGAGCTACACCAGCCAGAGCCAGATCTTATTGTTTTTAAAATGAGCCTGCTAATATGAAACATCTTTATAATTGTCTCTGACTTTTTAAAATCTGAGACCAGAATTTGGGGTAGATAGTTTAGCTATTTACTTGATACTCATCAGGAAATACATGGCATTTTTATTTTAAATGTACTTAGTTATATTTAGCAACCTCATTTCTGAGTTTCCTTTTCATTAATATAGTTTTTATTTCAAAAAATTTAAATGGAAGTGATACTGTATCAGAATGTAAACAAAGTCAAAGACCAGTGAAAGAGGTGTTCTACTGGTCATTCTGAATTGTCCTTCCTGTCGAATTGCTGGCTGAGGGTGCTTGTCTTGGATATGGATGGGAAATTAGGTGAGGGTACTGTGGGAGTTTATGATAGCTGCTTTACCTATAGAAAATAACTCTCCCCAAATTAAATAACTTGCACATCAGTCTAAAATCAAATTGGGAATAATGTCTATTGTGATTATAAGAGAAATGAATAAAATAAAAATTACTGGGTTTTCTCTTCCTGAATATCAGTATGAGAAACACCTGCATTCTCTCCCCAGCTCTGTTTCAACCAGCTGTGGGATCCTGGGCAAGTCACTCAAACTTGCTGGGCCTCAGTTTCTTCATCTTTTAACTAAAAGTGTCTAAATGAAAGATTTTAATACAGTTCTCCCAGAAACTGATAGATTTGAATAAAACAATTTACAAGGTTGAGCTCAAACAACAACATAGAACTTTGCACTTAACAATTAGAGAATAAATATTCTTTTCAAGCATAAATGAATTATTCATATGCTAGACCACAAAGACAGATTCAAATACATGTAGATCACACTGTGGTGAAATTATAAATCAACAACTACAAGATAGGCCAAAAGACTCATACATTTGTAAACTTAAAACCATGCTTGTGCCCTGACTGGTGTAGCTCAGTGGATTGAGCACAGGCCTATGAAACAAAGGGTCACTGGTTTGATTCCCAGTCAGGGCACATGCCTGGGTTGCAGGCCAGTTCCCAGTGGGGGACACATGAGAAGCAAGCATATATTGATGTATCTCTCCTTCTCTTTCCCCTTCCCTTCCCCTCTCTCTAAAAATAAATTAAAAATATTTTTTAAAACGCCATGCTTGCCCTGGCTGGCGTAGCTCAGTGGATTGAGCACGGGCCTGCGAACTAGAGTATCGTGGTTCGATTCCCAGTCAGGGCACATGCCTGGGTTGCAGGCCAGTTCCCGGCAGGGGACACACGAGAGGCAACCGTACATTGATATTTCTCTCCCACTCTTTCTCCTTCCCTTCCCCTCTCTCAAAAAAAAAAAAATTAAAAAAAAGATTAAAAAACAAACAAACAAAAAAAACACACCATGCTTGTAATTAATTCATGAGTCAAAGAGTAAATCATGATAAGTTCTTGTGGTAGATAGAATTCTCAAAATGACCTCTTAAGATTATTTCATCAAGTACTAGTAATATAGGTACTGCTTTGAAGGGAAGTCAGAGGGATTCAATGCATGAGAAAGACTTATCACACAATTGCTGGCTTAAAGAGGGAGAGGAACCATGTGTTGAGGGAAGCTGGTGGCCTCCAGAAGCTGAAAGCACTCCGTGCTTACAGTGAGCAAGGCAATGGGGACCTCTGACCTGCAAGCACAAGAAACCGAATTCTACCAACAGCCTGAATAAGCTTGGAGGTAGATTGCTGTTAAGAAACTAGCCCCACTGACACTTTGATTTTAGCCTTTTGAGGCCCTAAGCAGAGAACCAGCTGAGACATGCCATACTTCTGACCAGTGGAAATTATGAGATGACAAATGGGCATTATTTTAAGCCATTAAGTTTGTGGTAATTTGTTACACAGCAGTAAAGAACTAATACAGGACTTTTAGTAGATTTTTATAATAATGGCTCCCATTTAATTATGCTTTCATGTACAGGAGCTCCAAGCCAGGGAATTGCTTAATTGTTCATGATATTCCAAAAACTCCACCTGGAGGACAAGTAGTGTGGACGTGCCATTTATTACATTACAGGGGAGTGCACCAATAGTGGTAGATTGGTGCAAAAGTGACCATGCCCTGCCTGAGCCCTGGTGCTACTAATAGGGTTAGGATGGGAGCAGTGGCAGCAAGCAGGGAGGGAGCTGTGGTAGTGGTGAAAGTGCTACGGGGCTGTGATAAACACAGGAGCCTTGAGACACAGGAGCCTTGAGAGACTGTTCTTGCTCCTTATGGCTGCTGGCCAGGCAGCCATCTGTTTTCTGAGATGAAGGGACCATGTCCTGAGTCACCCCACAACACCCTTTGCAATGTGATGTTGTCACTCCTCCCATCAGGAGGTAGCGTCTCCTCATTTCTACACCTGCTGGAATCTGAGCTGCACTTGTGAATTACTTTGATCAGTAGACTATGATGGAAGTGTGTAAGTTCTCAGAAACTAGGCCTTTAAAGGTCCTGTAGCCACTGCTCTTGCTCTCTTAAAACTCTGGGTCCACCATGCTGTAAAGGAGCCCAGTTTAGCCTATAGGAAGCTCAACGTCCACCTAGGGGAGAACTGAAGCACCTTGGCCAACAGCCAAACTCACCTTTTGAGTGAGGCCATCTTGGCCCCTCTGGCTGTAACCAAATTGTCAGACGATTACAGCTGCATGAGTGATCCTAGAAAAGATCAGAAGAAGAATGGCCCAAATTGCCCATAGAATTATGAGAAATAATATATTGTGTATTAAACTACTAAGTGTTTGATGTGACTTGTTACACTTCAGTAAATAATTAAAGTGGGAATGAATAAAAACAAAGCCATTAGACCCTGGCTGATGTGGCTCAGTGGATTGAGTGCTGGCCTGCGAACGAAAGGGTTGCCAGTTTGATTTCCAGTCAGGGCATATGCCTGGTTTTCAGGCCAGCTCCCTAGCAGGGGTCATGTGAGAGGCAACCACACACTGATGTTTCTTTTCATCTCTTTCTCCCTCCCTTCCCCTCTTTCTAAAAATAAATAAATTAAATTAAAAAAACAAAGCCATTATATATTGGAAATATGAAATACAATTAAAGCAATACAGAGAGGATAATTTATAGCCTTAAATACATACAGGGTCTGGTAGAAGTAAGGCTTGCTTGAGTGTGCTTGGTAGGATACATGTATGTCTTGCATAGGTAGACAGCAATTTGAACATTTCACCTAAAATGTCATGGTGTACTTGAGTGTGATATTGTTATGTTACAGAATTACATGCTTATGATTTTGTAATAAGAGACATTGTAATAAAAGGGGTGTTATTTATGCCAGACCCTATGTTTTAGAAAAGAGAACTGAAAAATCAATGGATTAAACATTTAAATGAAAAATATTGGTAAAAAGAGGGGACCTCCGGCCAAGATGGAGGCATAGGTGGAAATACTGTACCTCCTCACACAACCAAATTTAAGGACAACAAATATTTAGAAACTAACCACAACCAAAACAGAAAAGTTGAACTGTACAGAAGTCCAATAACAACGAACCATTCATACAGACTGGTAAGAGGGATGGAGTTGGTGGCCAGTGAAGAGGGGTCCCAGCAGGAGGAGGCAGTGATTGGCGACCCGAGCAGGCGCGGATGAAAACCCAGTAAGGCTCGCAAGGTGGCTGGCTGACCAGGGACACACATTTGCATGGAGAGAAACCAGGCAGGTTTAAAAACAGTAAGACAGACTGAGCAACCCAGGGCCCCAGCAATGGGAAATAAAGCCTAAAAGCACCGATTGGAAAAACTTTTGGGGGTTGAGGTGCTGGGAGAGGCTCCTAGACTCACAGGAGAGTTTGTTGGAGAGACCCACAGGATCTTAGAACAAACACAAGCCCACCCACCCAGGAACCAGCACCAGAAGGTCCCAATTTGCTTGTAATAAGCAGCAGAGGGGACTGAAATGTGAGAGACAGAGTGAAACAAACACCACTGCTCCCTCTCTGACTCTGCCCCCAGTCACAACCCAGAAACTGGGT